CTACGGTCTCTTCCCTCGCTGGCGCGAGAACCTCGCCACCACCTGCCCAAGCTTCCGTTTGCGCTGCTCCGTCCTAGAACCAACACGCCACATGCCGCGGACACGGGCGCCTGACAAGCATGCGAAAATCTTCCCAGGGCACGTTACCACGGGCACTGGCTGGACCTCGTCCAGCGCAAATTCTACACAAAGCCTAGCCCCTTCCTGGGAAAATTCCTGAGCATTGGCCGGGATTAAAAATAAGTTTGTCAATTTTTAGAGCAGATCAGGGCTAAGGCTAACATAGAGCAAGGCTAGCGCTAAGGTTCTATCCCTTGGGGGTCGGCGGCTGCAGGCGGTAGCCTGGTAAATAGTCCAAATGTTTTGAAGATTTGAGTGAACAAATTTGATCGAATCGAAGTCGCCCACCTGTCTGGAGCGGTCACTGAAGTGAGCCAACATGGCGCCCAGCTCTGCGTTCCCTCCAGAGGTCCAACAGAACAAAACAGGTGTTTCCTTCGGACGCATGCGTCTGGCAGCCCAGTCCCAGCTTGCAGATTAAGCGTATGATTTGTTCCTGATTTATCGACAAAACCACTGGGGTCCTTTGTGACTGTGAGGGTTTAACTACCCAAGGTGGAGTCAAATGTTAATCAGAAATAAGATGAAATAAGTGATAATGTGTAGGTGTACAGATCACAAAATGAAGAAGTGGAGGTGTGGTGACTCTAGCAGTGCTAACACCCAAACAATGTTCAAATTGAGCGCCAAAAATGAAACAACATTCAACATACAAGGCTGTATTTGGACAAGGGAAAAACCATTTACAAACTGGTTTGAACCAAAAGTGTTAGGTTTGCATTGGTTGCTCGTTGTCTTCTTAAAAAGGGATGGGCCCATTTGGCAAACCAACAAGCACCGCTGCCGAGCCAGCGCTTTTCGAATTCCACCATGTTCCACCCAGCCCCTAGTCTGAGCACCCCAACTTCAAGTGGATTTCATCCTTTCGAATCCGCTGCCTGAGCCCGGGAGGCACATTGAAGTCAAGAGAAATGATCCTGACACCAAATCGTAAAGATTTGCGCATTACACCAGCGGATATAGTGGGTTCGTAGTTTTCAGGGCTAGAGTGTGCTAGTTGTCGCACGAACAGCACAAGCCCTCAAAGTCGAGGCTTCTTAGGGTTGGGATTTGGCACGCCAACGGATTTGCAGGGCTAAGGTTTAATAGGTTTGAGTCAGAAGCTACATAAGTCATACCAGTCAGCTAGGTGCGGGTTAGGTGCGCTTTGGAGGTGCGGGAACGGGCTCGATTTCAGGTGTGGTGCGCACCAGTGCCCCGTACCAGTTCAACCGCACCCTGACTGCACTCCCTGACTGCACAGTCATCACATCCGCGCCATAAATCTGCGCCCCCGGCACCCTGAAATCTCACATACCTAACAAAGCATTGCTCTTGAATTGAAGTCAGATTTTAGGCTCCTTTGGGTTAGAGTTTGCTAGCGATTAAGCGGCTTGAGCATTCTCGCGTTAAGGGATTCGTAGGTTTCAGGGTTCTTAGATGTTCTTAGGGCTGGTTTTCCAGAGTTCAGGGTTGGGGGTTGGTCTGGTAATTAATATTTGCATATATTCGCTTTGTCTTCCAACTGGCCAGCCGCAAAGGAATGTGTAGTTTTGCTCATGACACCCCTCCCTAAGTAGAGCGGTGCACTTAAACCCATGAATTCCTAATTTGAGTTGACACTGGGGAGAACGCGTGATCACGCAGGTTTACGTATCCATGAAGACCAAAACAAAACTGACATTCAACGGAAAACACTGTGTCGATCCCCTTCCTTTAAGCCGAAAGCGCCCTCCTCCCCACCAACCATTCTCCGCCATTGCTTAGCTGCTCGTGCTTCAACTCCTCTCGTAGCATTGCCAAACCCGACTCCTGCCGTTTCGTCGTGATCAGTTCTCCAGGGCGGGCAGCAGACAGTGGAGTTCTCGCGTAGGGACAAGAGGTATGGGGACGTATACAAGAGGACTACAAGACGTAGTTGACCGAGTATGGAGTGCAAATCTCTTTTACAAGGCTTGCTTGCAAGCGGCTTGCAGTGCTTCTAAGGCTCGCAATTGGTTTATTGATTTGAATCTGGTTGCAGAGGGCGTGTAAGAATTACGGTTAGAGACAAGAAACTCGCCGCCACTGCCCACGTGAAACAGTTTGAAAGCCCGACTACATGGATTCATCCCTAGGTGACATTAGGCAACGGGTGCTCCGGAAATGGATCAATGTGCCAAAACGTGTCCAAATATTTCTAGACAACAAGGCTTCGAGAAAACGCGTTCGTCTCTCCGGGGAGTTGAACTCCCTAGACGACACTCTTTGGTTCACAAAATTTTTCCTTGGTCCCACACGAGACGAAATCCGTCCTGTTTGCTCAAGCTGGTGCTTTGCAGCTTGACGATCTCAAAAAGTTCCTGGCCATGTCAGATGCTCGGGTGGATCTGTTGTACAACTTTTTGATGCTCTCAGGTGCATCTGTCTGCACCGCTGATGGTGCTCACTTCTCGACCCAAGCCGAGGCGGGATCCGACACCCACCACAACCCGACACGTCTGACGGCCTCGACGTTCTTCGAATGCACATCTGCGTCCTGACGCTTGGCCTGGTGGGGATGCAGGCGGCCTGGTTGGGTGGGTTTTCATGAACGTTGCACCCTGCCCGTCAAGCCGGCCTGCCCAATCACATGAAGGAAATCCCATTTTGTGGAAGTGATGCGGACCATGGGGGCAGTCAGCCTTTTTTTGGTGACACCGTCCTGGTTCTTGAAGAGACTCCCCAGTGCCAATTTCTGGTTTAAGGTAGAACATGAAGCCCTAGGAAAACCAATCTCCTACCAAACTATAGAAACAATTGGCCCCGTTGCATCCTGATGTTGAGCTTCCCCTGAACCTTCCCAACAGAATTTGTGGCCGAAGTCTTGAATGTTAAGAAGAATTCTGCAACAAGGAGCTATTTGGTTGGAGGCCATGGCTATTAGGTTTGAGGCCATCGCTACTAGCAAGGATGCTACTAGGGGCTCCTGGCCTTACTACTAGGAACAAGAAGCTACTAGGGGCTCCTGGCATCGCTACTAGGAGCCAGGACGCTACTCACTTCCTTCGCTTTGTTTGTTCTACGTCCGTTCACAGGCTCTTCGATCTGTGGCTCCCATGGTCCGCGCCTGAAGTACTCCAGATCGATCCGTTTCCAAACGATCCAAGCGAGAACTGAGCTCCTGCAGTACGTGGAAGGTCTTGAAAAGGGGCAGTGAATGGTAGTGGATGGCAGTGGAAGATAGTTATTATATGTTATTATAACTGTAACTGGTGGGGAGAAAAGTTTACCTGGTATGTTGGATGCTGGAGTTGTCGGCTTTCACCACGACTCAAACTCTGTAACCACTTTGTTGTCCAATCAAATAAGGGGTACTGTGATACGGGTCTCGTCGACCCGTCCTAGGTTGACCTGAGAGCCCCCGAACGTAGTTGAGATGTGAACGGAATTGGTGGCAAAATACCTGAAAGTAACTGACACGGTGACACCGTGTAAAACAAGCTTCAATGCTGCCAAGGTCTTTTCTCTGCTTGAGCTCCATCAGCATCTGCCTCCCTCCTTTGAGAGAAGTCTTCCAGCATCTCTGGTCGAGCTTCAATGAACCAAAACAGCTTTTCTGCCCCGATCCAAGTCCCTGAGTACCTGCACCTCCCCGAAATAAATATATGCAAGATTATGCAATAAGTAACTATGGATTGATTTCAGAGAAGACCTGGATCTTGCAACTGAACACCTGGATGGCTTCACGGAAAAATCCAGCGAACTGCCCCCCGACCAGCGAACTGGGTTCCCATCACTCCGACATTTCCGAAAGGTGATGCGATCACAAAACACGGGTGAAAGGCAAGCACGTCATCAGCTTCTTTGCATATTTGGATCATTTTAACTACTACGGATTACTACGGTATCAAATAAACTCCAAAACCTACAGCCACGGCCAAAGAGTCTGCCAGAATTGACCCAAGAAACTGTAGTCAGACTTCTTTTGACCTGACAATCTTCTGGCACCAAGACGTGAATGTATCCAGCGGGCCATTGCAACTCGTCAAGAGGGAACTTGAACATGTATCACACAACAGGGTGGGGGCAAATTCCGTGTTGCTTCTTGGTAAAGCAGCAACACGTAACGTTTCGTACTGGAGAATCTTACCATTGGCCCGATTTTCATGATCACGTATTCTTTCGATCATATGCTCCTACCTTCCCTAGCCCCAAAAGCTTTTGTTCCGTGAACAGCTGGCTTGTAGTTGGCTTGCATCTCACCGATTGAATTAGTGCACATACATCCTTGAGGTCTGGAGCTAAAGAATGAGTGATCCATCGATAGATCCGTGCGGATCACGTCATCTTCTCCGCGGGTTGCACAGATTTGCACAGTGCGGGTCTCGCAAGCTCCACGACAGTCTGTTTCAGCCCGGTTTGGGTGCTTCGGCCAGGTGCTTGGATTTTGACCCATGGGCCACAAGGAGCCCCTAGTAGCGTCCTTGCTCCTAGTAGCGATGCCAGGAGCCCCTAGTAGCTTCTTGTTCCTAGTAGTAAGGCCAGGAGCCCCTAGCAGCGTCCTTGCTCCTAGTTGATCCAGGTGTCTTGATGTGTTTTGTGAGTATGGAGTTCCAAGCTCTGTTCAAGCCAAGGTTTCACTCTGCCACAATGTGGTGGTGGCTCAAAGGTTTATATCTTCCACACATCCTCGAATAGAACAGCTTTAAAGTGTATCAAGATGAATCAAGCGCGAGATGGTTTCCGCAGAAAAGTATGTGCATTTTGAGAGAAGTCTCAATTCTTCGAAGAAACGACGGTGCTTATCTCACTTCTTCACTCCTCCCAGCTCCCCTCAAAAGCCCTGGCAGGACCAGCCGCCTGCCTACATCAAGTCCCCAAGATGGGTCATTCGATGGCAGAAACCACAAAGCATGGACCCGATGACACTGGGTGACCCACGGCAAGAGGTTCTGAGGTTGAGCTGGTGCGCGGAATCTGAACGGACTCATGTCTCATCCATCTCAGGGATCAAAGCATTCTGCAAAGCTTCTTCATACCGAAAGTCGAGAATCGCCTATTCAGCTCCCCTCAACTCACTGTACCGTAATCATCTGGCCATCCTGCACAGACGCGCGGTGCTAGCGACAATTTGTACCGTTCCAACTTCAAATGCCATCTACGGCGCTTTTGAGCAGCTCAGCTCGGGACTTGTGACTCTAATTCCACCTAACTTCCCAGTGGTGGAACAAAAGGCGCCACCCCAAAAGGGATTGAACATGAACCCATTTCCAGATTCCCCAGCGCAAGAAAAACAAGAACTGCCACATGGTTTGCATCGCTTGTTTTGCATGTTTGGTCCAGACCGGTCCCCGAAAGCTCGGTGTTCCGTGGACTGCCCGACTGCCCGCCCATGCCCGCCCTGAAACACGTGCCCACAAACGCTCCAAGAACTTCAACTAGTCAACCAGTGAGTTGTTGAAGTTCATGTTCCAAAAACATCAAATTTGAAAAAAGAAGAACACAAACAAAAGACACTCCCCCTCATACAGGCCGACATTCGGAGCTCCGTCGCATGTGCCTCATGGGCACGGTGGTCCCACTCGCATCCAGCAGCTCCACCTGTGGCGAAGCGGCTCTGACCACCTCGTCCCAAACAACAGTTTCCCACAAACATTGACGTGCTTGAGCCATAGGCCCCCAAAACAACTCAGGCTCGCTCAGGCTCACTCACAGGTTTGAGTCATGTGTCCTTTTTCATTGGGAGGATACAGGTGCTTGACCTGCCGTTTGTCGTGGTTGGTCTCAGTAGCAAGTCCTTGTCCTCCACCCCAAAATCAACCGTGGACTTCCACTTGGTCAGGTCCTCATATCACTTTGTCCCTGTGGACCCATGCTTCTATTGGTGCTCTTTGCCGTGGTACACACAGTTTCAGGGTGGTTTCCTACTTTCACATCGTTGGTCAAGAAACTTGAACAAAGCATCAGCCAAAGCTTCAAGCCGTAGGGCCCTAACGGGCCATATATCTCTATGCCTTGTGTTCTCTACACCAGCGGTCAAGAACCGCCAACAATCCCCGTGATCCACGCGTTTCACAGAGCCTGCTTGTAGCGCAAGGGCCTCTTCGGGATCTCCTGACACACATCAATGGCCGATCTGGCCTACTTAGCAAAAGCCAAGTGAAGCTAAGTAGCATCCACTTAGGATCTTTAAAGTGAGTATATAAAGCTAATGCACCATCCTTTGTCTTTGAGATGATACGTAGAATCTGGCTCAAACATGTGGCTCATACTATATATAACTATATGACAAAAATAGTATATATATATATATATTGAACCCTGTGAACAGTCTTTTTCTGCTGCCACAGGACAGCTCAAGAGAGAACTACAATTGAAAAGAGATGCAACAAGAGCTTTGCAAGAAGTCAACGTATGCAATGGTCTGTAGCACAAACACATGGCCTGTTAAACCAACAAGAGACCGCAAAACACGTTCATCGGCTAGCCACATTCTTGGCATCTCTCGGATCGCCTATTTGCTCTGGATTCATTACATGCCCATGGATATACACAGATACCCCCCTCTTTCTATACCCAGGAGTTCGTCGGAGGGCCTTGTAGGCGAACACAGGGAAGAGCAGCATGGCAAAGAAAATGCCAATCATCAGGCCCTCAGTGTTCTGATGCTGTGTCACACACACTGTGACCACTGTCACACTCAGAGTTTCTCCACAATAGTGGGTGATCCCGTAGATTCTACCTAGATGGATTGGGAAGCTCTCCTGCAGTTTGGAGGCAGTGAGGGAACCAACACATTGCTTTAGGATGGCCGAGCTTGCCGACCATCCTGGGACCAACGACCTCGGAGTCTCGCCGAGTCACAAAGACGAGCAGCAGCCACATCCACGGCGCAGTCTCCGAATCACTCAACGCCTGAGGACCATCGCACTGGGGATGAGTTCGCAATGTTTGGGATGAGTTGTTTCTTGTCTCCAACTCGAATTTCTGCTAACGATACGTCATTCCAAGTGATCTTTTCTCGAACCCTCACTGCCACGCACTTTTGGGATTGCTAAACTCACAAACGGCAGGTCTGCTGGCAAAAAGGATCAAGCTGGGCATTTTCGATGTGGAATAACAGCAGAATCTCTTGCACAAACGCAGGGTTAGTTTTGGCGATGAGGTCATAAGCCGTGCGTTCGGGCATCATCACTTCATTCACCAGAGGTTGAAGAGTGAAGCTCGCGCTTTTGCACATGTATCAGATACCACTCTTTGTCAGTCCTGGTGTCCATGTGGTATCCATTACAAAAGCAATGGGTCTTGGTGGACCTTGTTGGCTTCTAAACCTCTTTGAGAGTCCAAGACATTCCTCAAGACTTTATATGACTTTATTCAGTTATCTATGTACTTTCATCTGTTGAATTCTGAGCATATCTTCGCCATACTTTGTTTCTCTATCCGTTTTTCTGCAAAAAAAGTTGTGTTTCCCATCCTTGAAAGCCACCCTTTTCCTCGCCCACTCCGCCTCCCCGAACTTCTCCAAGCGCTCCCGAGAGAGCACTGCACTCTGTGGCACCTCATGCGGGTCCCCCGTCAACACGTCGATTTCAGGATCGGGTTCGCCCAAAATATGTGCTATAGAACCATAAAAAGCTCCACTTGGACAAGAAAACCAAGGCAAATTCCGGGCTCGTTCTCTTCAAGGAGTTCGATGATATTCGATCAACAATTATACATTTACACACTGGCAGCAGATCACTATTCCAACTCTGTTTTCACATCTGTTTTTCTGGCCTTCCGAAACGACTTGGATTCGACCGTCAACGGCCCCGGCGAAAACACCGCCTCCAAGGGCTTGGGCGTCACCACTTCGGGCGCATGCAGCGCCTCGGAGACCGAAGGCCAAGCAACTGCGTTGTTCTCCAAAGAAGAGACCTGCAGGATTATAGACAATGATTCCTTGAGAACTATATGAAAAGAATGACCTAAAATTGAAGCAAGAAGTACTTTCAAACAAGAAATAGGAAATGATTCTTTCAGTATTTCATGTCGGTTGCTTTCAGACCACTTTTTCAAGTCGAAAAGATGCAGAGAGCTCAATCAAAGTTGAATGAGTTTCTTGAGTGCGAGAATCACGTCTCGCGCATCAACCAGAACTATGTCTCATGTATTCTGCCTACTGAGGACCCCTAAAATTTCACTTCAGCACATCCAAAGGCATCTGTACTTTCGGTGATATCAGCAAACCCAGCTGATGAGGTTCATCCTCAACATGCAGGGTCTATGTGATACAGTGGATATCCCCAGTACAAGGTGAATCAGGGTTACCTCCTTCAACCACAGGAGGACTACCTCTGTCGGAGTCCATCTTGGGATATTAACTCACAAACCTAGCCTCTTCAGTCCCCCAGTCTAATCCAGCGGGATTGAAAGTGACACTTCCAACAGGCATTGCTTAAAGTGTTAAAGCCTTCTAGAGCCCAACTCAAGATCTGAAATCCTCTGAAGAGATCTTTTGCAGAGTTTAGTTTAGTTCTGAATCATTTCAAATAGATCCGCAACACATCCATATATGCAGCCGGCTTTAACTTCAGCCCCCGACAGCCCTAGGATCACATCAAGCAAAGAAAATAACGCACCCAACTTAGCCAATTAATAGATTTCTGAGTTGTCACTATCGCCCGATCAGACCTTCTTGTAAGGGTACAAGTACCATTCTCCATTCACAACATACTTCTGTGCGATACTAGTAGACTAGTGCCTCCTGACCCCCCTTGGCTACTAAAAAAAGGACACACGAAAATGAAGTCGCCATCGCGGCCGTGGCACAGCGGCCGGCAAGGCCCCGCATTTCTGAAGGTTCCACTGCTGGGTGCAGTTCAGGAAGCAGACCTCCGAAACCTGCGGACCGTGAAGGTTTGTGCAGGGTCGGAGGTGGATTCCTCTTGGGTCGATTGATCTGCCAGGGGCATCTCATGGCCATTGTGCTGCCAGCAGAGGCAGCAAACATCATGATGTGCTTGGTCTTGAATGGTTCACAACAGTGCTAGGCGGCTTTAAAGTCACTATGCCTAGGCGCTGTCACTAGTCGGAAGATCAGGAGTGTTCAGGAGTGTACACTCAGGGCCAATGAGCGGATGTAACGTCATTTCAAGACCTAACAAGTCTGCAGGAAAGGGGGGGTGCAAAAACGGCCTTGGGTTTCCAAACAAGACGACAGGCGGCATCTGTTTCTGGGAGGGAAACAGGAAGGCAGTTTGGGCAGTTCACACGATTCTAGTGGTTTCCAGGCAGTGGTCATCCACCAGTCAACAGCGGGAGCTGACTCTTGAAGATCTGTCTATTGGATGTGAATCTGCTGGTGTTGAACAACACAAATACTTACTAGCAAACTGGGTGTTGACTCCAAGCCTGACCATCATTGTACTGTTGGTGAGGTTGAGATAGACCCAAGCTTCAACTCGAATGGAGCGAACGGTTGAGACTGATTGTCGTTGAGACGAGTGTGTTGCTCCTAGTAGCGATGCCCTGTGCTCCTAGTAGCGTTCTTGTTCCTAGTAAGGCCAGGAGCCCCTAGTAGCGTCCTTGCTCCTAGTAGGTCTCACCCACCGCTCCCCACGAGCCAAACGTGTCTTGCCTGGACTTCAACCTCCACGGGCATGCTGGGCACCTGCCGTAAACAGTGAACAGCAAGGACCGAAGCATAGCCCTGCTCTCTTCAGTGGATGAACATCAACACATCACCAACCTGCATAGCCCTGCTCTCCTTTATGTTGCCAATAAATGGCCTTCGTAGATTTGTTTGATGCTCTTTATGTGGGGCTTCGAGATGTTTGTTGTGTGTCTTCCGTGCTTTACATTCTCCGACTTCTTGATGTGGTTGGACATTCAGCAGCCTGGAGTGTCTCCCAAACAAAAACGGCGTTTGCTTGCAAAAATAGCCATGTAACATTCAATTGTAGACGAAACGATATTTCCTACCACCCAGCTCACCCAGCTCACCCTTGCACCGGAACGGATTCCGCCGCGGCCCGAACCTTCTTAGGTGCTAGGAGTTTTCGGATTTCCATCAGCAAAGGCCATTCCTCCTCAGCAATGCCTGCCGAAGTGCGAAGCGAAGAGGATTCAATGTTCGGTTCCACCTGATTCGTCATACCGGTAGGTGACTTAGTATGGTATGTCCAATGATTCTCCCAGCAACGCGCAGAAAGCAAGAGCAAGTTGGGCTGTTCACAATGAACCTTCACGCCTTGAGTGAACAATGTTGAGACCTTGTGTTCCTGCACGCTTCATCAGCTGTTCTGAGAAGTGAAGTAGCCGTGCTATATAACTCGCTACTAGTAGCAAAGGGTATCGCTACTAGTAGCTCCTGGCCATAGTACTAGTAACAAGAAGCTACTAGGAACAAAGGGCATACCTACTAGTAGCAAGACAATTATATAACTATCATATATCTGGATCTTCGGCCGCTGTCCGGCCAGGTGCACGCCCAAGCATGATGATGAACTGAGCGCGGTTCGGACGTGTTCCACGGGTTGCCTGCCCTTCCACCTCAAGCACAACTTGTTCGGAAAGGCCCGTGTGCGACAAGCTTCGAGCGTGTCATTGATGAGCGGCCATACCGCTGTGCCACTCACTGTCGGCTGATGCATCATCCAAAGCTCTCAGAATGTCATTCAATCGGTCAGTCCATGCCCATCTGTGTGTCAATCCCTAACAATTCACAAGGTCCATGACGGTGTGTCCATGTCCATGTATGTGTTCCCAACAAGAAATTCACACCATCTCTGTCTGATGCGTCAGCACTGCAAGACTTATTACTTGTGATCTCGCGCGATGGAGCATGGGGACGGTCGGCATGCTCTTGATTGATTGCAAGACCACGCCAATAATATCTGTTGGACTTCCGGCATACACAGACAAAGAGCAACAGCCCTCCAATGCGTTGCCTCACGTCGGCATCTGTACGTGCAAGCAGCACCACTTGTCGGCACTTTCGGATTGCAACAGCATGACATGCTCAGTGTGATGACACCTTGCAGAGTTGCAGGGGCAGGCACCTGTCTCGGTCGGTCACCACAGAAACAGCCAAAAGTGCATCCAAGCACAAAAAAAGGCCATGAGTAGCTTCTTCCTCGCGACGGTGTAATTGAAGAACCCATGGAATGCTGGTGACTTTAAAAAAGAAAGTGCCCATACTGGCAGAAAAAAAAGGGAATCAAGCCATACACCCAAAAGGACAGTGAAATGAGAGGTGCCCTCCATTAGCCCTGTTTTAAGATTACCGTACAGCATCCCAAATGACCCTCAACAAAGCTCAAGTGCTTTGGCCCGGGAGGCAGGGACAAAGACTCCAGAGCGACAGAAAGACAACTGGACAAAAGGCTATCTGCACTTCGCAACGAATTGCTTTCAAGACTAACAAGCACGGGCAGGACTAAAGCTTGTGAATCCCTGCTGTTCAAGTTCTTTGGTAAACTTTAGGAAGCCCAACCAACTGGATCAACTATGTAGGGGATGTATCTGCTCTACTGTATACTCCCCATACTAATTACATCTCAATCGAGGCATGTTCGGTGTTGCCAGTATAATTAGATGAATTCATGTCCAGTTCAATCATAAACGCCACCATAAAGCACCTGATTCCTGCATCTGGACAGTGGACAACACCACAGCGCGTTCTTGCGACCGTTCGTACCGTTTGTGCCCGCGCCTAGTCCGTTCTGGGCCGTGAACCAATGGAGGTTCTCAAAGCATGCGGAGCGTGCATTGGTGTGGAGCAGGCCTGCGGTGACACAGCAAAGAGTGGAGAAAAAGACACGTAGGGTCAGGAGCGAAACTGGAAAGCTCCGGGTTAAAATGGTCAGAGGAAGCTTTGCATAACCTTATTGAGTCTTGCTGCCTCCAAATCGTTGAGTTGCCAGAGTCAGCACCTCAACCAACCAACCAACCAACCACCCCCAAAACACCAGCGACCCCGTTCACTCTCCAACCTCGCGCCTTCGGCCAGGGCGGCGTTGAACGCGGTGAGGTCCAAGGTCTCCCGAATCGACGTGACTGAGACGCTGGAGTGTCCTGAGACTTTGTTGAAAGTGTCTGAAGGACACCTGGGAAGGTGGAACGAACGGGATGGGTCGCACCTGGAGACCGACTATGAGACTTTATGTCTAAAGGAATCAGTCTGCAGTGGAGGAAGAACTTCCTCGGAGAATGTCGACTTGGCATGGTTGAGGTGGACCGACATGACATACACTTATTGGCATGGGGTCTCCTTGGTGGGCTTTGGCCATTCTCACGCAGATTGCATGAGTCACTAGTCACTAGATTGACTTTGGGACACTGCAAAAGCATGTTGCTCGTGGTGTTGCGTTGCCCCATTTCCATTGACTGAATTCTATCGCATGTCCAGCGGCACCACATCAGAGTCGGATGGGCTTTGTAGACTGACTTGACTAGACCAACTGAGGTGAGAGCAAGTCCCAATGCGGCCAGTCTAGAGATAACGATTCCATGCATCGACCGTTTGAGTGGTTCACCATCAGAATAAAGGAACCAAAATGTTACACATATTGTTCATCACTTGAGATTGCTGTCCACCCGAGACCCGGTGGTAGTTTGCCCCACCGTGCCATGCTTCGATCCGCTCCTCATGACCGATCTGACCTCTGTTGGCTCTGTTGGCTTCCATCTATAGTATAGACTTCGAGCAACTTTATTTCGGCACAAGGAAGCTTTGGACGCTTCAAGGTGAACTGAACCCAATCATTCGTGCATTGAACTCGGGGCTAACCAAAAGAAAAACGATTGGGCCGTTGACAAACCCCGTGTGCCTCAAATCTATGCTGAACCTGATGGCCAGGTTTCCTCAATCTTACCCCTGACCTTGGTACCAGTTTGATCTACTCCGGGATCATTACAGGGTGACACCCCCAAAACCATCGATTTCGGTGATCCCCTTCCTTCTGAAACACAAGGCCGTCTTTCCCTCACCCAAGCTATCTCTTCCACTTCACCCAGGCTCCTACTGCTGCCGCAGCCTGGCCGGACAAAGGGTGTTTCAGAGGGAAACAAGTGCCCCACGTGCCAAACCAGAATCCACACAACGCCAGAAGACCCATGGATCTTAATCTTGTTCTAAACTGGGAGAGGGTCACTGACTGATTCATTTCGAGTAAGATATATATAATTGTATGATGTCCAGACCTGGAAAGACTGCATGACTGACAATTGATTCAAACACCCTCTCTTCTCGAGCATTTCTTTGGACTTCTGGGGCGAATGCTCTCCAGGATCAGGACTCGTGTCGTCTCAGGCAAAAGACGTGAGAAAATCTTGCCGGCTGAGGCTGCAAACTGCCACCTCCATTGGCTTGACGCTTGCCCCAACCCAAAGGCACCTTTCGCAACTAGTGACACATGGCTTTCACCATGACGCACGTCGTTGGAACAGGGCAGACGACTCCGGTGGAACCGACGACGTCCGGCTTTCACCGTCCGCAACAGCGCCAGCTGCCTTGGAGCAAAGGTCAGTGCCCGCGGAGACGGCACAAATCCATTGGACCAGCTTCATTCCTCGGATGCGAAGCTGGGTGTGATGGGACCATATGCCTCCACTGGACATCAAAGCTGTGGAGGGAAGAGGCTACAAAAACCTCCTTTTTTTCAAGAAATGAAACAATAATGGAAAGCTTAAGAATGATCAACTTCAGTTTGTCTCTTCCTTTTCTTGCTCTTCTGTAATTATGGAAGCGTCTTCCGTTGTGTTCCTGAAGTGATCTTGTGGCCACATACAAAGTTGTTGCATGTGTTTTTCCACAAACAATACGAATATCGACTAAATGAAAATATATCCCATGTGAGAATTTGTGATGTTTGTCCCAAGAACTGTGAAGCTTTTCTGAGCAATCAAAGGATCGCGAATGCAAGCTGGCCACTGCTCCATCACATTGATATGGGATTACAGGAAATTTGGTTTGCACTTCAATGAATTGACTTGAGAATATAGTCACACATCCCCATTGTGAGCCAAAATCCATCTTCATGGCGAACTGCGTGTTTGACCCCTTAAGCTGTACAGATGAACATCCAAACAAACATGAAGCCAACACTATGTCACTATGATATGTTATCATAGCCTTTCTGCTCTTTGTGGTACTTTGCTCATCCTTCCGTGACCTGTGCCGCTTCCCCACCCGGTGCCCGGTGCAGCAAGCGTCCACCCTTCTGTGGTCGGAGCATCACGATTACCGCAGCTTTCCCTGACGGGTGAGGTCTAGGTTGTGTGGCTGTGAAAGAAGAAAGCCACATGGAACCCAAAAAAGGCGGATTGGTTGATTTGCGTTTGGTTGTGGTTTGCTGGCTAAGTTAGTGATTTTGTTGGGTTGTTTTTTTGTTTAGTCCGCTTTGCTGCTCCTTACAAAAAGAGAGATGTCTAACCCTCGTTTTGAGCCATGTGTGGATCTCTGGTGGGAAATACCATCGACTAAGTCAGACAGGCCTATCAACCAGGGATGACCCTGGAAACAAGGCTGCGGCCGCACAAAAAAAAAATAATAAGCGCCAGGGACCTACACGCTGTCGGTTCTTCAAAGACCCACAGGGCATTAGAAAACAATCACCTTCTTCATCCTTCTTCCACTCCCTTTACTTTGGTGATTCTGTTGGCCAATGGACTCAACTGAGACCGAGAACTTTGATGCTCTGAGATCTGGGTCCCAGTTGATCAACCATCCGCACCCCCGCCCCACACCCCGCCGTCACACTCTTCGAACTGGAGCCGCATCGTTGGCTCGGTGGTCCCCACCGCCAAGCCCGTCAAGAGGCACTGCGTATGACCTGAACTGGGCTGGAGGGGAGTGGAACCAAGGTTGGGGACCATCTTATCAGTGCTTTTGGGCGTCTAGATGGTCCAAGTGTGGTCATGTTGCGAATCAAAAAGAAGGAAGCAGTGGGGCACAGAATTTTAAGGGTCCAAAGTCCAGAGTACTGTTGTTAAAAACCTCATCTGGACTCTCCAGTTGATTCCATCTAGATTCCGGTGTCGCCATGCACAACTTCACTTGTTCAGCAATCTCATGATATTGGGATTCTTTATCGGGCCCAGATGGTCCCGCTGGCACCAAAAAGAGTAAGATCAATCTTCAACTAGTATACTGTATGGGGGTGATGATCCACCACTCTATTTGGGGTGCTTCCAGTCAATCCTTTTGGGTCTTCGGTTGACCTCCCACGACGCCCCGCCAAATCCGCTCACCAGCCTGTGTTAATCGAGATCTCTGCCGACTCAGTGGTTGCCTCAACGCGTGCAAAAAAGATGCCCTTGTTACTAGTAGCTTCTTGTTACTAGTAGCGATGGCCTCCAACCTACTTGCTATGGCCTCCACCTAATAGTGCCTCCACCTATTAGTGTCCTAATACTCTAGAAACTACTCTAGAACTGTCTTGGGTCCAATAGAACTTGACATTGTCACAGAGCAGCACGCATATCAATAGAGATCTATAGAACATCGGTCCCACGAGCAATCAACAAACTGGAGCAACAAAATAGGAGCACATTCTGGTTCGCATGTTGAAACAGGAGTCACGTTCTCCATCTATCTGATTTGGAGATCGTTGCAAATACTTTACTATACTCAAAGCACCATGAGCCCCCTGGTGTCTTAGATCCAGCTCCCAAACATAAGAAAATAAATTCGCAATTCCTGTTTCTTTTTTGGGGGGTGGTTGTTCGGTCAGTCTTTCGTTTTGACAGGTTCATCACTCATAACCCATAGAGACGCCAAGTGCACTGCAATGAGAATCAGGATTTTCATGTTCCGGATCTCTCTCTCTCTCTACTGTATTAACCTCATTCCACCGGGGGGATGTCGTTGTTCTGCCTGGGCGGTTACGGAGGTTCCGATGAGGACCTTGGCGCTTCGGAGCCTGCAGCCCAAGTGCCAGCCATTCCCCTCCATCATTCCCAGGCTTCTGCCATTCAAAGAAGGACGACCTGAGTTCAGAACCAAAACCCAGCTGCTGCTTTGATATCATCAGTCTGGTTTCAGTTCCGGGTAGTTCAATGGTTTTCATAATATAGCTGGAAGTGACAAACAATTGCATCACCGCTAGGGATGATGGAGGTTGCACTACTGTAGTGCTTTATTGACACCTTATTAATAATGATAATGAGTATTCTTATGTCTACGCCCTTTCAGCCACCTAATTGCCTTTATTGCTTCATCCCCATTGCGCATTGGATGGTGGTGATGGTGCTGCTTGTAGAGGCCTGATTTCCAAATGGATCTGGATATGCTCACGTTGGGCCAAGCCCCGCTGGACAAAGACATCTGTCCTCCAAGGAGCTCAATCTTTCCGCAAAGGCCGTGCAAATGCACCTGCACGGAAAGTTGGATCCAGGGACGTGGCGAAAAAACACTCCAGGCGCCAGGAAACAGATAGAAGTGTCATCTCCTCAAACCAAAGTTGCGTATAGTGAACAACACAGGACGTTTATATTTTAACAGCAGGTGCTAGGGGTAAGTAATTCCCCTGTGCATGGTGCTAGGGCGATCTTTATTCCCTCAGCAGGAGGCTACCGCCAAATTCGAAAGAACAAACACAATCACCATTCATTTGGTGAACCAATAGATGATTTCATACTGCATACTGAAAATCAAGCTCTACCACCTAACCTTCTCACTGGGCTAGTGCCTGAGATGTCATACTGTAATAAGTTGCGTATTGTAATAGTGGTGGCAAAACCCATGCCCGCCACTTCCCAAAATTGATGGTGAGTCATTGGAAAGATGGGCCCGACGTCCTTGAACAGCTCATCTGATGGGTCCAAATGAATCAGTAGCATCAGAAGACAGAAAAACCTGTTTGTCACACGTCTTTGTCCAGAGAGTTGGAGATGCTGTGTGAAAGGTTCAAAGACACTGCACAACAAACGCCACGGACTTGGTGATCTTCAACTCCCTGTTACATGCGACTTCACACCTGCAGATGATCCCAAAAAAGATCGACCAAAAGTGGCCACAAAGGGTATGGATATGGTAACCTCTACTGTCACCTTCACTACTTGGGGCCTTGATTCTCAAGTCCTCCCTTTCCAGGACATCTTCCAGGTATCTTTGCAGAACCCTTGCTTGCAGGTCGGACCAGCCCCAAAAAACCATCACCCCGTGATAAAATACCCCACCAATCCGCCTGTTCCTTCGCCAGGGGTTCACCGTGTTTTGCCCCCGCAGCTTCACCCGACACCGAAACGACGACAGGACCGAAGAGACGGTGCCAGTGCCGCCACGCCGTCGGCAACCACGCCTCTTCGTCCACCGGTGCCGGGCGCAAGTTCTCGAGGCTCAAGTCCAGCGAACTGGGCAGCGAACGGCGTCGGGCATGAGAAGATCATCCGAAGAAAAGCTGACGGGAAAGTCCAGCTTTGGAAGAGAAGATGGCTGACCTAGCAAAAAAAACTTGCTGTCCATTCTCGAGGCCCTCTGTCTCCACCTTTCTCAGTAAGTCAAGCAATTCTTGCTTGGGGCCATCTGCATTTGAGGGACGAAAGCTGACATACCATGACCTCTAAATGGGCAGAAAAGTGGCTCCAGGGGATAGGAGGATTCTCTCATGAATACAAATGTTTATAGACTATGCAAAGTCACCTGGATCCTTTTCCGTGCTATTCTACAGATATATAGTCTACCCAAAAAAGACATGAAGCGAAAAAACCACGACCCTTTCCGGGGCAGCTGTAGGGGAGGACAAATCAGGGGATGGAGGAAGTCAGCAATTCAGGCTGAGCCATTTGTGTATTCATTCATTTTCCAGAGTTATGGCCCAAAGGAACACACAGACTCTGTCAGACTGACTCAAACAAACAAAATGAACGGCACTGGACAAACAAACAACCAAATGAAACAAACAAAACATGGCAGGACTAAAGTTGTGGATTGACTGAGCAAGTCAACACACCAGGTCACCACTCCTTAATGACCACCACCACAGAAGGTTAGTGAAACATCAGAAACAAACTAACAAAGGCAGGAGTTAGTTAGGTATTCAAAGATAACAAATAAACTATTTATTTTGAGATGTCAACTCATGATGACCCTCGGCCATGGTTGGGATTCTGGCCTGAGAATGCAAGCAGCCCTAGCATTAGACTGGTGGTTTTCGATGCAGAGCGTGTTTTTTGGCTGGCAGCTCCTGTGAAACAAGTTTTGTGGCCCGGCCAAACACGGAGGCTTGTTGACAAAAATTAGTGAAAAAACTTTTGAATATTCACTCAGTCACTCACTCTATGCGGTTTTGAAATGGTTTCAAACCTTCTCACCTGTCACCCTCTGTCACTTTCAGTGACTAGTGCCAACTTGTGCCAACTTCGAGGAAATTGATGAAGATTCTGCAGGAACGGAAGGAGTTACTATCTGACGTGTTCCGCATGGTCTGGGGCAATCGGCCGATGCCGAATGTTTGCTACGGGCAAGATGGAGGTAAGCATGGTGGCTCAGAGCGTCGTGATACCTTTGTTTCCAATGAAAAGCTGAAGTGGATGAAGTATTCTCACATGGAGACAACGCTCTTGATCTGCTTGATCATCACGTGCATGCTTCAGCAGTCAAATGAGGACAGAGCACACAAGAGAAAGTTCACGGCCGCTTGTCTCCTCCGTGATTTCATCAACACCGTGAAGAATCTCCCACAATCTTTTTCGGCTGTTGTGATAGACGGTGAGGCCTTGCCGATTGTGGATGGGAGCATTCGTCAGCTGGAATCTTCTGCCTTGACACGTGTTGATGCATGGCCTGAGTTCTTGTCTTGGTGGAATGGTGTCCGGCTGGATCAGATTCATTTGCCTTCCAAAGTGATCACCAACCCAGTGACTTAGTCTTGGCATTCATCAATGGTTCACTCAGTCAGTGTGAGTCGCAGTTGTGGAATGATTTCATGGTGTGGAATGATTCCATGGCATTTGTTGAATGACCCATTCACCTCAGCTCAGGTGGAGACAGCATCATTGGGAGAAGTGGCTGCCGCCATGTTCTTGCAAGCTGCTAGCTTGGGAAGTGCTGAGCTATCAACAGCTGGGTGTGAGATAGTCAGTCAGTGGGTACGAGCCATAGTCCCGAATGTCAAGAACATTGCAAGCCAGAAACCACCAGAGCCGAAATCAGAACGGGATTTAGCTCAGCATGGGTACTACGACTGGGTTCTGACAGAGATGAGAGAGGCCAGGCCTGAATGACTGACTGATTGGCAGCACAGTCACAGGGCCGGCTTTCATGCAACCATTGCAACGGTATGAATGAGATGCTTTGGATTAATCGATCAAAAACCTGAGCAAATGTTGGATGAACCAATGATGGTTGTGAATAGTATCAATGATGGGAAAGCTCAACTTTAAGCTGATGAATATATAATGTTTGACATTCTGATGCCGCTGGCAGGGCAAATCCACCACAGTTGAGAACCTGCTGAATCACAATGACCGTCGTGCTCACAACTTTTACAAGGCTTGATTCATTCAATTCAGTTGCACTGGACATTTTGGGAGCTGTCAGTTGTATTGTCGCATGTATATATATACTGTATATATATATGTATACGCAAAGACTAGACTCAGTCATTTCAACTCAGTGATGATTCTCTGATGCGGTAAGCGGATGCGGTAAACGTAACGTGGTCACATTGGTCTACCTGCCAGGCGTTTACCACTGCCTACAACACCATTGCCAAGCAGATCATGTCAAGCGCTACTGTGGTCCAGGCAGGCAGAGGGCAAATTGACATATGTTGCCAAATGAAACTGTCTTGTTCAAAACAATAAAGACATGCCGTGCCAATTAAAGACCTGCAGGCAGGCAACCAAATATGTGATGAATATTGTGTTCAGCCATGACTTCTGTCAGGTGCTGTGGGATGCTGGCTTAGTGGGTGGTGGCATGAAGTGCGACCTCTTCACAGTGATTGACGTTGCCAGACAAATTGGCGTTGTGCCAAACCCACAGGTGCGCACTTCCTTTTACAGTAGTTCTCCAGCACATTCTTCATGTGTTTGTTGGGTGGCGGTGAAGTGAAGCGAAACGTGTTGGGACTTGTGACTTAAGTTCAGCTGAGAAGCAGATCAAGCCACAAGTCAAGTCAAAGCAAACAAAAAAAAACACACAAACACACGCTAACTAGAATGCGATTACCAACATTTATTGCTTGTACATTTACCTTGTGCAGAGTTGTAACAATAAACAATGTAACCAATCGACTTATGGCATGGTGCTGCTGCTAATAACATTACATAGATTTGTTCAACTGACTGACTGACGTGACTGAGTCTGGATCCCAGACCGACTGTCATTGCAATGGAACAGAGTGCCAGACCCACTGCTCCCACTGAATGCAGCCCTGGGTTCACTGCCACATTTATGTGGCACTTTGTTGTGATCAATACTTTGGTCAGCCTACTCGGGGTTGCGCACTTGAAGGCCCGGGCAGACAGACGACAAACAAACAGGCCAGACAAACTCTGAAGTGACAGGAATCCATTGTACCAGACCTGGACGATTCATATCACACTTCACTGAATGAAAGTCTCTCATGTGAAGTGGCTTGAGTTTAGATTTGGTTGGTGAGAATCACTGAATATCATGTAAATGTCTGTCTGTGTCAGGAATCAGCGCTGATCAAAGCAACTTTGGCATCGGCGCATTGCGCTGGCATTGGACCGGATAAACTTGTAATTGAGTCTTTCTTGAAGCCTGCTTTGCAACAACACGGGTTGACCAGCAGCATCCGACACCATTGGTCAGTAGCACTTTGATCTTGGTTCAGGGAACCTTTTTAGTACCGTTTAACCGTCCTGTTAGCATTTCAGAGTGAGCTAGACTTGCTCACTCTCTGAGCTTCTGTCAGGACAGTGACTCTGGATGTCGGTTTGTCTTGGAGGCATCATGCGCAGTATCAGGAGATCAGGACTCACATGTTGGAGCAGATGTGCTTGACCATTTTGGAATGAAGATGTCACACCTGAGTGGGTGGACATTGTTAAAAATGATTGGCAATATTTTCACAGCACCACCACTGCCAATGATGTACTGCAGTGTTCACAAGACCTGGTGTTTCTTCAAGCCTTGCGATCTGGACACCTCTGGTTTTCCGTGTGTGGACTTTAGTCCAGCTGGCAGCCAACGGGGAATATACGGTGGCTCATTTCCAGTGCTCCTGTGTCTGCTAGCCTGGCATAGATGTTGCCGGACCAGGTTAGTATTTTTGGAGAACGTTCAGCAATTCCCGACTCAGGTCCTGCACTGTCTAATGCAGGATATGTATGATATACATGAATTCAAATTCGGACCTGAATCTTCTGGATGCGAGCATCTATCTCGACCACGTGTGTTCATCATGCTTCTTCTTCGAGGTCAGGTCAAATATATAAATAAATTATGTTGTTTGAAGAGACTGACTGACGCAAACAAACGCTATTAAATATTGTGCGTTTTGATTACGGCAGTTGGCAGGCATTTATTTGACATTTGACTCAACCCGTTGAATCGTCATGGTCTTTCTGTCAGGCGCTGCAAAGCTGACCCACAACGTGAACACGGTTCTACAACTGGTGTCCAATCAAGTCATTGCAGCACGGCGCTTGGCACAAGGAGATTTGAAGCCGAGAGATCTGCTTTGCGCGTCCCCCATGGATGTCAGAGATGCAGAAGCAAACTTGGCGCAGGCCATTTATTTATCAACTGGGGTTGGCACATGGGCTATCCTGTATCTAGTACCTTGATTGGTGACAATCAATCTTTTGAGGCTCTACTATTATGAACAACATTGCATTGGCACTAGTTGTAATGTATTACTAGTTGAAGCTTACTGCGAATGAATTTTGCCGTCTGTCTCAGTGACTGTGGACTGACAGTTGTATTTCTCCGATTCGGTGTGAGAGTCAATGTGGGCATGTGTTGCTGTGAGGCCCGTGGAATACGACTGCGAGCAGTTCAGCCTGGCAAATTGTTTAATTCCTTCTACTATCTTCTTTTGGAGACTGAGAAACAGCGTTTAAACACATATTCCAAGATGTGGCACAAGAGATACGGTGTACCCGCCCATCAGGATATTGATTGCTTTGTGCATTTGGGTGACAACCCTGAGAGGTTTTGCTGTTGGACTGGCAGTGGTAAGTTTCCTGTGCTGAGAAAGAGTATGGGAATCATTTACCACCCTTCGTCTCAAACCATTTTAACTGGCCAAGAGAGGCTAGCTGCACAAGGCTGGCCTGTTTGTCATCACCATGCACTGGCTGCCAGAATTCAGCCATTCCAGTTTCCACTTATTAGAAAGGCAGCGGCTTTTGCCGGGAATGGATTTCACATTCCAACA